GTAGTAACCTGCTTTGTTACCTTAAGGTGCAATTTATACTATTCAAAACCTTAAATTTAGTATTATTGCTGTAAGTTAATGTGTTTAGCTTGACTCGAAGATGGTAAATAACATTTTAGATGTTATTAAAATCAATTAATTTAAAGTTACTTTAATTGATTGTCATATTTAGTACTCCAAGGTCTCCAAATTGTCAACATGATCAAAAATTTGCTGAAAAAACAGTTGTACACAATATACTACATGCTTTCTGTCATCTGACTGATAGTGTATACTTTTTTTTATAAAAAAGCAAGTGCGACAGAACTTTTAGTATAACAAAAAATGGGTCCTTTTGCTATGAAATCGTAACTGATTTTTTTAAATATAATTTTTAGTACATAAAATAACTTTTATATTGTAAGTAATATTTCAAGATGGAAGTGAAGCAACCTATGTTTACTTGATAATTTTTTAAGTTAAATGTTTCTGTTTAAATGTTAAAAGTGAAAATAATATATGATACATCAGGTCTTTATTTGTACATCTCTCAATCGTCATAGTATTGTATTGCATTATATGTTTTACACAATAAAAACTAAAGAGCTTTTCTGAACTTACTAAGACATATTACTGGCATATAAAGTGACAACTGATATTTATATGCATTTTAAGTAGTCCGCTATACTATTATAAAGATTTTATTGATTTGCATTATAAACTAACAGAATTTAATCTTACTTTCTGGCCATATAAACATCAGCAACTGCACCAATTGCATATTTATTTGTCAGTTTAGGCCTCTGAATGACACTAAAGAGCTCCATTTTCTCCTACTATAGCTGATATACTTGCTATGATGACAGTTTAATCAATAGTTATGCACAGAAATGAAGTTCACTACTTTAGATACACCTTTCTAAATATTCCTTATATGCGGTCTCAGTCTGAGGAGTTTGAGAGATGTTCTGTATGTCTAGAGGTATGCACACGAATCTAAACCTGCATGTTTGCATTCCTCAGTGAACTGCGTGCTCGGGCACATGCAAGAATATTATTGTTTCAGTCCTTCTCTCCCCCTCGCTCTCCATTGCCCACATTTCCAAAGATGAGTCACATAAAGTAAATATAAAGTGCATAGCTTGTTGCCTTGGTGATAGTCAAAGTGTTGATGTGCTGAAACTCCTGTTTACAACCTTCACCATGTCCTGCCTGAGGAGATGTCATACACACGGTGATGACCTACAATATTGAGCTTCCTTATATATAGGATCAGTTTAGAGATGGAAAGCCAGTCAGAAGTGTGTTCTGTGATCCTCTGTGGACACAGTATTTTGTATGCAACTACATATCTCCCGCACAAGCACTTGTTGAAGCTGTCTGAGGAGAATCTTCCCTCTTGCTGACAAGCTTGAGACCCTCCGCTTTGCCATTACAGCAACCTTCTTGAGAATCACCATAGAGACACCTTGAAGTATATAATTTACCATGTAATTGTGCATGCTAAATAGACACAGACTTTTGATTAATTCATGCTATCAGCTCACATCTGATGTACAGCTCTAGTAAGCTTACCCCCCCCCCCCCCCA